AAAAAAGAACCTTAAACTCACAAAAAAAAATATAAAAACAAAAAAAAGAAAGAAATTAGAGAGATAACTATTGTGAAACAAATTAGCAATCCTAAAAGATAAAGATAATCTAAGACTAAAAAAATACATTAATAGAAAAAACATTAAAAAGAAGCCAAGGGGTTACTTAGGGGTGAGGTGGTGATGTTAATTATAACACAATGCGGGCAATGGTGATATTAATAAAAAAATACAGTGGAGGAAGAAAAATAAAAAAAAGGAGAATGAGAAATGAATGTCTAAATATCATGAGCATATTAGTCTCAACTCGTTTTTAAATTAGTTTCCATTTTACAATTTATTAAATTAAATGAGAGTTTTGAGAAAATAAAATTCAATTAACTCTTAAATATAATATATTATTAATTTAGAGTTGACTTGAATTTATATATAAAATGTCAATCGATTCAAATAGAAAATTAAGATAAATTTATTAAAAGTCATGGTAAATGAAAATTAAATTTAAATATTTTTTACTAAATAATCAACTCATATCATTCAAGTCAACTCAAACTAAAATTAAGTTTAGATAATTCAGACTAAATAATCAATTCATACCCTTCAACACTATTTTACTAAAATTAATTTATCCTATTTGAAGTCGTATAAACCTAAACCAACTTTATATTTTTAAGATCAAGCCAACCCAAGTAGACTTGAGTTAAAATCAAATTTTCTTTTTACAGCTAAAGTCGAATCCGTTAACACGGCTTCATTTTTCTTTTAAAGTGAAATTGTCATACTTGATTACCTTAATTATAACATTTCTTTTATGTCATTAAGGAAAATGGTTTTCTTTTTAATTTTTATTCTATTATGTTTCAATGATATTTATTTTTTATAATTAATTCTTTGTTTAAAATTAATTTAATAATAAAATAAGAAAAAGGATTTATGTTAGTAAAAATGTGAGAAAAATTAGAAGTAATTAAAATTAAATAACTAAAATAAAAATACATTGTCGAAAGTCTTAATATTTCGTTTTAGTTATTTATTTTAATTAATTTAAATTTTTCTGAAGTTCTTATTAATATAAATCACTTCAACTTTTTTCTTACTTTATTATCTTTGTTATATATTCAATTAATTAAATTAATTTTAAACATTAAATTAATTAAAAAATAATAAATAATAAATATACTTGAAATATAGTAAAATAAAAAATTTAAAAATCACTTTATTTAAAAAATATGTTTTTAATTGAAGTCGTCACATATACAATAACATAAAAATAAGTGAAGATGTGTTATGTGTAACGACTTTCCTTAAAAAAATTAAATTTTTACTACCTTATACAATTTCAACTATAATAGAAAAAAAATCACTTTTAACTAGTGCTATTTGTAATGATTTTATTTATAAAAAAACAAATCTATTCAGATTATACGACTTCAGACAAGATAAATCTAATTTATTTGAAATCATTTTAAATGATCTAAATCACACTACTTCAGACAAAACAGATCTAACTCAGTCGAAATCATTTTAAAAGATATTGTTTATTTTTTAATTTCATGGTCTCAATATTTACCTTAATATTTTAAAAATTTAACTTCATTCCAAAATATAAAAGTGAATTAAGATGGTAAATTAGTTGGTTAGATGTATTGGTTGAAACATAGTAGAGGCCAAATGTTCCTTTCCAGCGTATTGGGTGCAGATATGAGCTGTGGGTTGAAATCCTTTGGATTTTCAAACAGACAGGCAGTGAAATTTTCATGTGACGTTTTCGAATATTTTCGATTTTAAGATAAGAAGACAGCAGTTTAATATCCCTACATCTTATGCACTTGTTCACAACATCACCAACACAACTTTAAAAGTGTATTAGATCCATTCATTCCGCCCAATAATTCAACACATCCAACTACAACATGCTACACTCTCTCATTGCCACAATACACTTTTATTTCACTTTCTTTCGGACATGTTTCTCGTCACAGGTTCGACCAACTCAGATTAACTTTGTGTTGGAATCCATAAGTTGTAACACCAGGAACAACATGTTTAAATTAATTTTAAATATGAATTTTACATTAAAATATTTTCTAGATCTAACAACCAAATATCTGATAGACGTTAGCAAATTAGAATATCCTATCACCATAAGTTATCTTATCAATTTGGATGACTTGCGTCAGATGTAGTACAACTACACTCTATATAAGCATCAATAAGTCGGTGCTACCTCGTGTTATGACCATAATATCATTAAAAAATATTAGATTAGATTAACTTTACTATAACATTTTTTGGCTGAATAATAATTTTATTCTTATAACAATAATTCAATGTTTTTATTTTTATTTTTCATTCAATGTAACTATTTATGTTATATCAACGTTAACATCATTTAAAACATGATAAACTAGTATTTACATGTACAATAATCCAACACAAAGTTAAAAATATTAAAAATGCTATTAAGTCGCATTTTAAAAATATATCTGACTTAAAATTAAAGATGACAAAAAAAAGACAAGTCTGGCGAGTCCAGTATAAAAAGAGTCAAAACAACATTTTCAACCAGAAAGCCTACACTTCATTTTAATAAAGCTCAACTTCATATTATGAGACCTCACAAATTAGATTTCATGTTTCATATTATATTATCTTCATATATGTTGTTAATTTTATTATTTTTACATTTAACAGAGTTATCCATGTATATCGTCTACTATGTTGTTTCTCAAAGTGTCCACAACACTATTCACAATATCATATTTCATAGTTTTGACCTTATTTAGACCGTCATCCAGATTAAAAAATGTAACTTGAATGTGTAAACATATATTAAGAGGAACAAAGAATAAAACATGTGTAAACCCCATAACCATACTATTATGCATACGAAATGTTGCAGCTATTGAAGATGGATGACAGAAAGCAAGCATTACAAAGACAAACACAATCATCTACATTAAATAAGATGATAACATTCATCTACTTAGTTCATCTACATTAAATAAGATAATCACGTTCATCCACTTAGTTCACATATTACTTATATTTAGAAAGCTTGGACAAATTCCAATGTGTTAATGATAAAAAAGATAGATTTTGAATATGGAAAAAATTGGAATTCAACAGAGAATATGCTCACCAACGTGATTTATGTTGAAAACAAATCACCTACAAGCTAGACAAACAGAAAAATAACATCATTTCCTAGAACTATTGTACATGAGGTAGAAGGTTCATTACACAACAAGAACTACTTCAAACGAAAACGAAGACAAGAAACAATTACTCGTCATTACTATAGTCTAAAGAATAGTGAAGAGGTTCATAGCAAGAACAAAACATGCATGAAATCTAAAAGAAAACAAAAATCTTACATAACTAAAATTTACTTCATGTTTTATCTTTCCAATTCGATGATAAATGGTTTAATCATTAAATTTGATAATAAATAATTATTAGATTAAGTAAAGAAATTTAAATTTGACTTTCACACTTCCATGAATATAAAAACCTTCTGTATTATTCAATGATCACTGTAGACAATAATTAAATTAGTTTTGATATTGATATTAATCCTAATTATTTAATATACGACTTTTTCTATGATTATAATTTTACTCTCTTATTGCTAGTCTAAGAGTTAGATTTGCCTCAATTATTTGTCTCTTACCTTCAGCTTTATTCAAATTATTTGTCTCTTAACTCAATTTTACCACCCTTTTCGGCATCATTTACTAAAACAATTAATGCATTATTATTTATTCTAGCAAAGCCTCCATCAGAGTTATTGTTAACCATTGATTTTAAGACGAAATTGCAAAATACTTATACTATGCACTGACTACAAACATATTTAAGAGAAACACATTAACATAACCACCTTTATTTGTCATCTACTATAATTCTCACCAAGCATCCTCTATTTCAAATCAAAATTTTCAATTTGAACGGCGGTCCAAGAATATGATCAAAACTACGACATATGGTACTCTGGTAGCGTTGTAAGCACTTTGAAAAAACAACACAGTAAAAGAATTAACAAATGTGTCATCATGAATACTTATGCTAAATGTAATAAATAATAAAACTACTAACATATATTATAAAACACGTTCTACGAAATCAAATTCTATAACATAAAGCTGAACTGTGTTAATATAAAATGTCACTACACAATTTTTTTTTAATAAAACCAGACTACCGGACCAAGTTGGTTTGGACTCCCAGAGTAAAACACTATCCCAACCTATCTTCTATGACCAGGCTGACAGGCTGACCCACCAAACATAACTTATTTCGCCATCCCTACTTCAAATTCAATAATAAATAATTCCATTTGTTAGAAATGTAAAACAAAAAATAAAGTTTGCGAACAATTACCGCTTTATTCACCCTTACTTCTTCCTGAAAATTACGAAAGAACGTTTCTAAGAAAAACCAATTCGTTGCTGTTGTCTTGTCTTTATTTCATATCACTCTTCTTTTCACTGTTCATTATGTTTAATTGAACTTCCAATTTCACCCCAAGACAGACCCACCCTAACCACCACAACCATTTAACAAGTTAAAAGAATAACTCGTTACCACGGGCCGTCACAACTTATGAAGAACTTAAAATAATCGATGAAAGCAACTAAATTCAACGCAAATTAGACTACAACTAGCAGATTACGATGCTATGGAAATTATGACCACAATTGTCACCAAAAAGTTTATCCCAGGACGCTGTTAATCCGCCCCTTTACAAGAGGTGTACACTTCTTCGATGAGGCCATAATATAACAATAAACTTAAAAGGGGCAACATTTTTCTTCGAACTAAATTGATAGTCTACCACTCAAGGGTAAAATATTAATAGTTAAGAAGCTGGAAAGGCTGAAAATAGCTTGAGAAGCTCGTTTTAATATCAAATTAAAATCAGCATAATCTAATAGTGATTTGAGGACATGACATTTTTTTCTGGAAGCATAAATAAACTAGTTTCAAAATTCAATCTATTCAACGGCAATATGAAACTATTACTCATCCACATAATCTCAAACTTCGCTGGGCTTCAAGTTTCTAAACAAAGGTCTCACAAGTTAAAACAACTTGGCAAGTACATTTTGGTAGAAGAAAAATAATGATAAAGAAAGCATAAAAGTTTCAGTTACCAACTTTGCAAACAAAATAAAAAGCATCACAAACCACCTCCTGCTAAGATGATATAATAACTAGTGACTAGCATATCCTCCATTGCAACCGGTGAATCTCAAAACTGAAATCACTTCCATCCTCAATTGAAAAATAACCTAGTAGAAGAAACCCAGTACCTTACCACCAACATTTTTCCTCCTGGCCTCTTCATGATCCATAATGCCAGCAGAGGTTGTCAATACAATATACCCAAACTGCATAATTAGTGTAAATCAAAAATGGTCAGTGATAAGTAGAGGAACCATTAGTATCCAACATCACTCAGTAGTAAATCACACATAATTCAATTTTTGACATGATGTTAGAGAGTTAACGCCACAGCCCCGCTAGAAAAAACAAACCAACCTTAGCACATAGCCTACAAAATTATAACCCAATCAACACAAAAAAATTTCACAACACTTAAGAAAAATACTGAAATAAGTTTTAATTCCATGGCACTATACAAGCATCATGTTGTGTTTAAGGTTCACATAAACACGCATATGAACACAACCCAAAATATATACAAATAAATAAATTTAACTGACCTGTCTTGAGGGGAGAAGCCTAGCAGTCCAAGGTTCTATGTCTTTGACACCAACATCAAAACGGGGACTAATAACCCCACACTTGTTCAATCTACCGTTCAACTCAACCACGATTTTACCAGCCCTGTGGTCATCAACATACTCAAACTCTCCGATGTATCCTACACAATCGAGCACCCGAATGCAACAATAATTCAACACACAAACTAAATCATTAATCAGAAAAAAAAAACATTAATAACAGATTGATACCGTGCTTTTGCATCACCAGAAGGAATTTAATAATCACTTTGGAGGATGGCCTGATCATGACTTGACGCTTCCCCCTTTTCTCGGCATTGTACATGCTCTTGAGAGCATCGTTCAAGACACTAACCCTCACCATACTCACTAACTGACACGCAAATTGCAATCAGAGTCAATCAATTATAATTAAGGCTAAAAACTATATCACACCCTCAAATGAAACCAACTATTTGGAAACGAGCGATTAATACTAATCTTACCAACAGAGAAGAGAAGCCTCTGGGATGCTGCGCCGGTGCTCTTCCTTTCAGAACTAAGCGACAATCACGAAAAGCGCAAATAAGAAGGCTTGGGACTCTGTATTTAGGGTTTAGGAGCTGGAGAGCCTCTTATTGGGCCCATTTTGGGCTTCAACCCTTGCTAATTTATTTTTGCACTTTTATAATTCCAACCTGCACCCGATAAATTTGTCATGACAATATTGCATTTAGATAGTAAATTTCAAAATATAAAATAAAAAATTATTTTATATTATGTTGACAATATTAGTATCGAGATTTTGTATTTAATTTTGTTCATGTTTTTAATTTTAAATTTAATTGAGTTTCATATTTTTTAGTTCAACAATATTTTTCCTTTTTAAAATAAAACCAAATTAATAATTAAAAGTAATTACAATATATATATATATATATATATATATATATATATAATATGATTTTTTAGAATATATATATACTAAATCACTTAATTTAAATATTAAATTAATTTTATTTTACATTTTTTACATTATAAAATTCCTATTTTAAACTTAATTCTTTTTAAATATTTAAATGATAATTGTAAAGTAACATTTGTAATTTTTTAATTTTAATATTCAAAAAAAAATTTAATATTTATATTTCTAAAATTTTATAATTAAAATTTTTTTTAATATTTATAAAATTTTTTATATTTGTAATTTTAATAATTAAAAAATTTTATTTCAAATATTAAAATTTAAAATTACAAAGTGTTACTTTATATTTATATTTTTAATATTTTAAAAACATTGAAATTTTAAAATAAATACTTTTTAAAATTTAAATTAAAAAAATAAATATTTAAATGAATTGATTTGATGTATAAATCTTAAAATATTATTTTAACATGTATAAATAACTTTTTATATTTAACATAAATAACCTAATTGAATTATTTTAACAAAAATTAATACTTAATTAGTAGAAAAAAACTATTGAAGAATTGAAACAAAAATTATAACCAAACAATAATTTTAGACTAAAAATTGTGACATGCTACAAATTATAATAATTATGAAAGTATACAAATATGTTAAAAGAATTGGTTAATAATGATTTAATTTAAAAAACATTAAATATGGTTAAATATTATAAGATATTCTTAAATATCAAACTGATTATCTAAAAATAAAATAGTTTTAAGTTATTCACTGGATAGGTCATATTAAATTAATGTCCTTTACAATCGATTTAATATGTTGACATTACATTCCAATTTAAAATATTTTCTAATATTCACAAATTGTTTTCTAAATTAAATCAGTTTAATTAAATTAAATCGATTTCATTACAAATAGTTTTATATTCAGTTCTAATATTACTATTTTTCAATAATGATAACATATGTGTGTATAAGAGTTATTTAAGTTTATAATTTTTATTGAAAAATATTTTTGAACATACGATAAAATTTGTGGTTATAATAGTTTTTATTTATGTTAGTTCCCTTATATATGTTTCTGTAATTATAAATGTCATAGATGTTTATATTTTATAGGAACACAGATGATAATAATATAAGTATGGTAGGATATGCACACTAATACAAAAAATGAGAATTGTGCCATGCTTGGGACACTATTAGAGAAATTATTATTATTTTTTATTTTGTCAAACTAATAAAGTACAGTGATTTAAGACATGATTTTTTTTTTGGAGATTTAAATAAAGTATGGTAATTTTATTTTTAAATGACTATTTGAAATAAGGTTATTCGTCTAACAATTTACTTTATGGAAGAAAAAAATTACAAAATTATTAACAATTATGTTAAAATTTGGCCCCTGTGTCAACCTAGAAATAACAAAATTATCCTTTAGAGTATTATTATAAATTTAAATGTTAAAAGAACCTTTAAATTATTTCTCGTTGATATTTATTGAAATGATTTAATAGCTAATTTTATTCTTGATTGACAAATCCTAATTTAGTCATTTATTTTAAAAGTGTTGAAATAGATTGTCACATTTAAAATTTTGAGTCAAATTAGTCTCTTCCGTTAAATATAAACGAACGCGTTAAATATTTGATAATTTGACAGAAAACATTATTCACATATTATTTTATAAGAGTGATTCTCCCTGCACCTCACAACCCTCGTCCTGCACCTCCAAAACAAATTTTAATTCCAACTTATGCCCTTGCGACAGTCAACGAGGAGAGAGAGGAATATTTTGGATTTTTAAAAAGTTGAGGAAAACTTAACTCCTCTTCTATGCCGCATCTCACGATCAAACCCTATACCTACACCCCCTCCTTTGCAAACAGTCTCCTCTCACTTTTTCACTCCATCCTTCTCCTCTCTACCATTGTGTCCCTGTATCTTCTCTCCGCTGCGTTCCTGCCATTGTTGCTCGCGTTCCTCCGTTGTTTTCGTCACAAATCTGGCGTCCAGAGGTTAGTAGCTTGCATCTGCTGTGTATTTTTGTTTGCTGTAATCTGTGGTTCGTGTTCGTCGTGGTTCGTGTTCGGTCACCGGAGCTCGCTGGAGGTGGACGTCCGCAATTGGAAGTGCGGAAGGGGATCAGAACACATTTAGATATGCGACAAGGAGAAACGCAGTTCGATCTGCGATAAGCTCAAACCGCAGTTCGATCTGAGACACACATATACAACCGCGTTTCGATGTGCGGAAGCAGATAACCGGAGGTGGTAAAAGCATTGGAGCAGCTTCAGGAATCAAAGGACATGCAGAGAAAAGGTGTTGATCATAAACATCATCATGTACGCAATTCCGGCCAAGGCCGATCAACCGGCACCCCTGGTGGTGCAGATGTGCCTAGAATTGCTTCTGCTTATCCTAGACCTACAGCTTCTCTCCTTGGCGGTTGATACACTTTTGTGATGCGACAAGTAGGAAGCAGAATACACAGGATTCAGAGGTTTAGGTCTGGCATGAACCATATTTATGTAAGCAATGTATAGTTTGCATTATTTCTGTTATATTTTGTGCTATATATAGATTTTTTTTTGCTGTTGTGGTCCTGATTGTTAGACATGCAAGAGTCTAATGTGGATCCTTGAGATTATGGTGTTCATTAATTTTGAACCCTGTAGAAATTTGCAACACTGCCCATGTGGTTTATGCTCTTCATATTTATCTTTTGCATTAAATATGTGAAAAAATCTTAATAATGTTGACTACCTGACATCCCTCCCCAACCACCATGTGCACCCTGCTTTTCATCTGCTTCAAATCATCCTGGTAGCATTGTGGGTCACTTATGGTTCAACCACCTGTGACATTTGTTGCAGTGACATGGATCTGGGAGAATCATTTTAAGTTATTTCTTGAAAATATAAAAGTATACAAACCAGTGAAGTTTCTTTTGTTATCAAGTTTTCTTAATTAATTTTCAGTATATATCTAAAGTATATGATTGTATATACCGCAGTCTGCACATTCAATTCAGCATGTATCTATTTATTTATTGATCCGTGTGTTCACACATTACAACATTATAGAAAAATGTTTTAAAATGTTGAAATTCACTCTAACCAAATCAGGTTCAATATATTAGAATATATATTGAGACTAAGAAGTTATTGTCTGGTTTGTAATGGAATAAATTAAGTAAATATCACTCTAACCAAATACACACATATCACAAACCGCACTTCAAAGTGCGGCCTCAAAATAAAAAACGCACTTCGAAGTGCGGTTGCGTCTTTTCGCACCTTGAAGTGCGGTTGCGTACCTGTCTTCTTCCTTCTTCTTCCTCTTACCGTCACAGCATATCTCCAAATCTTCCAACAGCACTACCACCACCCCGAGAATTTTAACAACAACTCAATCCAATTCAATACACAGTAAACAAGTGAAGTGAAGAAAAATAACTTGCTACAGTGCAAAACGAAGAACAGGGCACATGAGGGTTTATAACCAAAAAATAATTTTGTGGTTGGCAGTTAGAAAAATGGTTGGAGGTTAAAAAAATTAAATTCATTAATTACGTTTTGACTTTTTATTAAATGAAGGGCAAAGAGGTAAATTTGGGAATGCAGGATGAACTGAGTGAGGTGTAGGAAGAATCACTCATTTTATAAATGTATTTCTTTCCTTCTTTCTCCTTAATACAAATTTCTAGGTGCGTAGAATAGTGTGTCAGTCTGCAATGGGAATTGTATTATGCAACTATTTCTCTAAACAAAACTCCAAAAAGATCACAATAAGCCTTACACTCTTTTATAATTTAAGTCTAATATAATAAATTGCAATTTGATATTAAAAAATACAGTAAGAAAATTTATTATAAAATTAAATTAAAATTTAAAATTCACACTAATAAACATTTAATTTTATTATTTTTAAGAACTTTATATAAAAATTAAAATAATTTTACTGTTTGAAACCAAAATACATAAAAACAATTTCTATCACAATGCAATACACATTACAAGAAATAAATATGTGCAAGCTAAGTAAACAAAGCCATGTTAATTTTTGTGTACGAAAGGCACAAACAACATTTTGATACAAAATAATTGCCAATTGAAAGTAAAAAAGAGTATGCAAAAAAGTAGAAGAGAAAGTATTTAAAGTAGAAGAAAAAAAACTGAGAATAATGTGCATTGTACAGAAAAATAGAAGAGAGAAAAAAATAGTTAACGTCGTTTGTACGGATTTAACGAAAGAGATTTCATTGATGCAAATTTTATTAAGTGAAGACATAATTGACACACTTTTTAAAAGATTAACTAATTTGACATTTTCGAGCAAAACTTGGGATAAAATATGATATTAAACCTATTGAAATAGAGTGAATCTTCCTACACCTCCCTCACCTCATCCTGCACCCCCAAATTTACCTGTTTGCCCTTCATTTAATAAAAAGTCAAAACGGTAATTAATGAATTTAATTTTTTTAACCCCCAACCATTTTCTTAACTCCCAACCACAAAAATATTTTTTGGTTATAAACCCCGAGGTGCCTGTTCTTGGTTTTGCACTATAGCAGCAAGTTATTTTTGTTCAATTTTCACTGGTTTACTGCATTGTAATTGGATTGAGTTGTGGTTAAAATTCTCGGGGTGGTGGTAGTGCTGTTGGAAATGAAAAAACATTTGAAAAAAAAATAAACAATTGAAAAACAAA